CAAGCTCCCTTTGCATTTGCGTCGTCGTGACATTATAATCGGTCTTTGCTTGATAATATTTTTGCTAAAATTGAGAGGTTAGGTCAGTGTCGGTTGGTGGAATTTCGGATATTCCTCCGGAACAAAAAAATGACGGGAATAACTACCTTCCACTCGTCAACGTCGTTCTTCAATATTTCATTTTTTGTTTTGATCTCGGCGAGACGTTTTTCCGAAGTTTCCAACTCTTTGACCAACTCCTCTTCAAGTTCCCTCGAGGAAGTTTGAAACTCGTCCAACTCTTCTTGCGTTTCTTTTAGGGAAGCTTCCAACGTAGAAACTTTACTTTTGTAGTATTGAAGTTCATCTTCGATTGTTGCGAAAGTTCTGAAAGGTAAGAAAGGTAAGAGGGTCAAAGAAAGTGTGCAACAGACAATTAGTAAGGACCACGAACTCCGGTCACCGAAACCTTTGAAATCAAAACGGTCGAGATGACTTACATTCCAGCCATTTCAATTAAGTTTTGGATTTTGATGGTTACTGTTGAAACCAGAAAGCGAATATCGAGTAAAAGAGTCGAGAGCAGGTATTCAGTAGAGAGAAATAAAAGTATTTACGGTGTTTAATATAAAAGAAAAGAGGTAAATGAAAAATTATTATTCGCTCCCAGAGTGACAGTTAATAATATTGATTGTTGACGCGTTACAAAGATAAAAAATGTTGGAGAGAGAAGAAAGGACTTCTCAATATTTTATAACGAGCACACAAAGAACCCAGCAAAAACTCTCGTTTCCAATTTCCAAATGAATAAGGGAAATTGATTTGGGAGTGGTAAAAGGATTTTACTAAGGGTCTATATAATAAAATTGGGACGGTGGTGCGAGCTATTTTGTTGCAGTGTTTGTGCACAAAAAAAAAAAAAAGCAGAAAGCAGATTGGGTGAAATTTATATTAGTTTTAGAGTGGAATAAACTCTTACACATAAAAATAAAAAAATTTTTTTTTTTTCAATGGGATTTCGGGCTATTGTGTAAGTTGGTTAAATGTTGTAGCTCATTAAATGATGGTTTATATAGAAAAAAAAAAAACCAGGTCCAAATCTTGAAGCGTATATTTTTTTTTTACAGTACCAGAAGATGCGGAAGGATTTGGGGGGACAAAAGGTGAACCTCTCTTGCCCAAACGGGAATGTTGTTAATTTTCTAGAGATCACGGAATTGAATTGACAGCGTTTTTTATTATTAAAATAAGAATTTTTTTTTTTTTTTAAAAAAAAATAAAAAAAAAAAAAAATCACCGAGAGAAACCCGAATTTTTCTTTTAATGGCTCACTCGATTTTTTTTTTTTTTTTTATTTCTTTTCTTTATTTAATCTAAAAATCTCAAAGATCGTTCTCATCTTCGCATAACATGTTACAATCCATGCAACACCCTGATTGTTTCTTAATAACATTTCTCGTAGGGTTGTTCTAATCCCCTCCTACACATTTCAATCCCAAAAAACCCTCTCCGCCAAGCGAAATGAGATGGACCAAATTCGGTCAGATCAATTGGACGTCTGAAAATTTTGGGGTGGGTGGCGATCGCCTATTATCGGTGTAAATGGTGGGTGGCGGCAGTATACATGTTTACCGTTCTTGACATTAAAAAAAAAAAAAATTATATTGATTATTATAAGTGATATATATGTAGGAATAGAACGACACCACATCGTTGCTTTATTTGAAATTTAAATTTTAGGGGTAAAGTTTCACAAAGAGTTGTAGGGACCCTCGGTCAACTGACACGAATTAATATTAGTGGCATGAAGTTTCATAAACTCAATTGATTTTCTTTTCGATGCCAGGCGTGGATGGTGATGATGATGGCTCAGCTCTAAAGTAAAAAGTGTAAAAATAGTATCGATAAAATCATCTTCGGTGATACCGTGTCCGCTTTGTGGTGGGCGCTCCACTGTCCAAGTCATCAGACCCATGGCAGGGGTGGATTTTTGTCAGGGCACAAATTCGCGGCTTCAGCCATCATTTGTAGATCGACCGTCAGACCGATTCGATTGTCTTTCTGATTCATGCTTGTAACAGGTGCCAAGCGAAAGACGGTCATCGGTATTAGAATTGCGAAATTACCGTGCCACAAGAGAGATATGACATAGCACCACCGGTGATAGATGAACTTCATGTATTAAGCGATATGGTGAAACCTGGCAAAACTGTAAACAGTGATTAGAATTTAACTGGATGACGTATTATTATATATAGGTAATGGTAATAAGAATGACAGAGTCAATACGCAATATGTACTGTATGAATAACGATGAATAAGTTTAAAGAATAAAACCCCAATAGTCAATCCCGACATCGAATCTGATTGATAATGATTATTTTCATTCATTCATTCATCCGTTTATTTACTTTTTATTTATTTATTTATTTATTTACTTATTACTTACTTATTTATTTATTTACTTATATTCCTCGCTTTCGTTTCATGGGGGAGGGAAGATCGAGAGAGAGAAAGAAAGAGAGAGAGGTGAATGCATGTTGGCATAAAAATTTGGGGGAGGGATACATCCGAACCTCATTGCCACTTGTAAGCCAAACCTGGTGCATGTCAGATGCTGCAATCAAGTGTTGCCACGGTGATTACATTTCGTTGCACCTATCTCAAGATGTGAATGACCTTTCTGGTCATCCGGTGGTTTTCATTCGTCCCTCGCTTCACACTCGTGAAGTCTTGATGTGCTACTTAACGTACAGATGTCATTTTTGAAGATGACTAGTGATGATCATCGTCACGATATGGTTTTTTTGGTAACGGCAGATGCCCGAGTTATTCCCATTCTGTGCACATTTTCTTTGGGGAAATGCTCCGATGCATGAAGAGAAAAAAAAAATGAAGCAATTTTTGGCACAAAACGAAACAATAACAACAATACATCTTGAAAAGAAGGCACAATCGGGTAACACCAGCATTAAAAAAACCAATGTTTCGTATAACACCACGTATACGATTTTTCATTGCGATCCTCTGGTTCGTTGATTCCTTCGCCCTCGGAGAAACGAAATCATATTTTCGACTTTGCCATCAAACAATTGATTCACGAATAATAATATAACACATGAGAAACATCACGACCATATGAATTTCCATTGTCCAGGACAACAATTTGCGGCGCCTATGCTGATGTGAGTCGATGCATCGTTGGTGACGACAAATTGAATGTTATTGCCAGCGATGAAAGAAAAGTGACACCAGCATAGGTGCGCAAAACGGAGACCAGTTATAGGAGATACATTGGGTGATATGCAAAGCCCTGTGCAGTAGGGTGAAAGGCTGTGAACAATGAACGGAGATAATGGATGTAATGAAGAGAAAGAGTGGGGTGCAGATCTCCCATTGTTGGCTAAAAGTTTAGGATTCTTGTATTTCCATTCGAAATGTTTATTATTATTATTATTATTTTGATGCCAAAGGTGATAATCGAAAATTTTTCCGTAAAGGCGATCGAAATTTAATACGGATGATACCTGTCAGATGATATTAGCAGCTGACATCTTAGAGTGGTAATCCATTATACTTGATGTTTTTTCCTCCGATGTTCACGCCTCCTGGAAATCCCTCTTATTTGTGGACAGTGATAGCGTATGAAAAAATCAGTGAATAAACGAGTTTTTTTTTTTCTCAGACAATGCTGAAATCGATCAATCATCTCCATTAAGAAACCTTTTTTTTTTTTTTTTTTAGCAAGTGCACATATAACCATATACAGTCTTTTTCCTGACAACTTTTTAATCTATCAAAATATCATGATGTCAAAGAATCGCTATTCGATTGATTGAATTGTATGATATACAACAACGTTGTATCCGGAAAAAAGTTTTCATCAGACCAAAAATTCTGTAATTGGCAATTGGATATTTAAGTTTGGATAGTGGTAAGTACCTATTGCACAAAAACGATTTTTGTGTCTACTGATGCAAAGTGAATCAAAAAAAAATATATATGCAATGCATGTAACCCCCAGAATCAGGCTTCCTTCATGCTAGCGTATGTACGTGCAAACAATCATTTTTTTTTACAATCAAAATTTTAATTCATTCGGGGTGACGATAAGACCTTTTTTTTCGTCCATTTACCAATTCATCCGTTCTTTATTTTCATTTTTTAATTTCATTAAAAGAGTCTTTGTTTTGATGTTTTTAAAAAATTATGGGGTAAGAAAAAAAAAAACAAGAACAAGAGGTCTCAGTGGTCGGCCGAATTAAAGTTTGAGAATTAAAGTTTGAAAGAAGGCATAAATTTGGTTTAGGTGAGTTTTTGTTTACTCATGTCGGCTCTGAGATTGATAATGCCTACGCAATTTACGACCATATGAGGAAACCTAAAGGTAAACCTAGAGGCGTGAATCCGCGCCACGCGAATTCGACGCGACGAGTCACGTGACAAGACGACGCCAATCGATAATTCTTCTTTGCGCTTCCCGATTGTAAACACTTGATCCCTGGCGAATGTGAAGGTGATCGCGTTAGAGACGAGCGTTTGATTCACACCTATCGGGTTCACATATTGTTCCTTGGAACAGTATAATACATTATAATGACCGATTGACGTCAAACCCTATGGTCGCACAGTAACGGCCGATCATCTTTATATTCGCAATATTATTATGTGTATTATGTAGTTAACAGTAGGATCGCCATCGCCGTGTAGGACAGCAAAATTTTTTTACGCCAATTGCTTAGGGTGGTACCTTTGACGCGACTTTGTATTGTGTATTTTTCGGTGGAGGAAAAAATTGGAAGCCGTTTTCAGCGGTGTTTTTTAGTGCTCACACATGATATTCAACCGTCATTGGACTAGAGTTAGCTATTCTTTATTTACATACATTCTAAAAAATCGTTGTCACTTCCTTAATACCTTCGCTCATTCATAATCGCTATGCCATTTTTATCTCATCTATTTGATACATGCTAGAAGAAGATGTACGTGGAATCATACAAGTCTTCTAAAGTTAGATGTGCAGCGAATTGCACAATCTTCCCCAATTTTCTCGTTAAAACAATCATCCGGTACACGTCGCATTGTCAGTTATGCAAGAGAAAAAAAAATTATTATTATTTTTTGTTGGGGCACTTCTTTCCTTCCATATCTCAATTCGAACATTCTACCTAATTCATCCAATTTTTGCTTGAGGCATTAGTTCATTTTGATTTAGTCGATATAAATAATTGACACATCGACACGTAAAATGTGTAGCAATCGGAATTCGCGCAGATGAGCTGTACCAAGAGTAACGGAATGGTACGGATCGAAAGTGTAAAACCGGCATAGACTGAAGGGAGATGACGTACGAAAGAATAAAGAGGGCATACAAATTAAGGGAACAAAAAAAAGGCACAGAGAGCAACGAGAAATACTCACATTGCGGGCTCGCTTTTTTTTTTTTTTTTTCGGTTCTCGCACACCAACATTGAATAAGAAAGTTCATTCATTCCATTCCAGGGAAAGAAAATCGCACACCCTGATATATACTGTATTAACATCGATTCATGATTCAAGTCTAGATCGCATCGTGTCAACATTCTAGAATAGGTATTATTATCATTATTATTGCCATATGCTCTGAATTCTGAATGAATGACTGTTTCAGAAGAGTTCCGTGCTCTTCCCGTACAGTAGTGGTCTACATGACTGTGTCGAATGTGATGTGAGAGAAGATCATATAGAGAAGCGCAACATCCAGTTTTCGTGCCGTGGAATTTTTTCCAAAATTTTACGATTCACTCAAAGCTCAGATCATTATTATAATAAAGGC